GGGGCGCTAGGCAGCTCCCTCCCTGCCCTGGGCAGCTGGTCCCGCTCCAAAGCAGGGCTGGCTGGGGCGCTCTGTGCTGCCCCCCTGGGCACTGGCCCCGGGGGCTGGTGCCTGTGGGCGAAAGCAGCGCACGGAGCCACTGGTGCACCTCTGCCGAGGAACCAGACCTCCTGCTGGCCAGGTCCGGGGTGCAGAGAGGTCGGTGGTGCAAGGACAGGCGTTAGCACCCCTGCTGCACCGGTAATTCTGTGGGCTGTGACTGCCAGCAATCCAAGCTGGCACAGGGTCCACCCCCATCTCTCCATCAGCTGCCAGGGCACCTGCTCTGGCCATTAATGCTGCAGGAGTGGCCCAATGGGCACTTTGTGGGGCAGGGTGGGGTAGCATGAGGCCACACCAGACATGGTGCAAGGACAGGCGTTAGCACCCCTGCTGCACCGGTAATTCTGTGGGCTGTGACTGCCAGCAATCCAAGCTGGCACAGGGTCCACCCCCATCTCTCCATCAGCTGCCAGGGCACCTGCTCTGGCCATTAATGCTGCAGGAGTGGCCCAATGGGCACTTTGTGGGGCAGGGTGGGGTAGCATGAGGCCACACCAGACACAGGGGAAATCCTGCTCTCCCTCACTGCCTGCTGGTGCCCCATAGCACCAGCCCACCCCCCTCAGACACTCACCTCAAACCCCCCTCCCCAAGCAGGTGCCTCAATGGGCTCTCCCTGCCTCCCCCCCCCCCCTGCCTCTGCTCCTGAGCGTGGGGTGCATGGATAGGAAGGAAGTTGCATTTCCGAGGGGGAGGCGGAGGGTGATGGGTCAGGCTCTCCCCATCCAGCCCCACACAGGGCAGGTCGGAATGGATCGTCTCAGCTAGTAATTTACGAGCTACCCCCAGCAGTGGCTGCCCCTGCCAGTACCTAGGCTCCTACAGGTGAGGGATGTGGGACAGGAGGGGGACAACGAGAGGGCAGGAATAAAGAAAGCAAAAGCAAAACCATGAAGGCCCCATAAAGCAGGGCCGGGCTGTAAATCAGGGGCTGGCAGCCCTCGCTGGGGCTGTTTGTCCCGCCTGCTCTGCAGGAGCTGGCCCAGGGAGCGGGGCTGGAGATCCTGCAGAAATCCTATATTTAATCGGATTTGGGAGAAGGGGCCGATAAATCAAGGGGGCAGCTTTACGGTCTCGGAGGAAACAAACCTCTCCAGTAGGCACACCCAGGTGGGCGATAAAACCTCTCCGCCAGGCCCTGGGAGCCATTTCCCGGGACCCGAAGCAGCGGCATCGCAGGGATGTAATTTAGCGCAGAGCCGATCCTGAGTTTAATTATCGCTGCGGTGGAATTTCAATGCGGCCGATTCATCTTGCGACCCGCAGGAGAGGGATTTATATCGACTGTTATTTCATACCAGCACACCCAGGTGGGCGATAAAACCTCTCCGCCAGGCCCTGGGAGCCATTTCCCGGGACCCGAAGCAGCGGCATCGCAGGGATGTAATTTAGCGCAGAGCCGATCCTGAGTTTAATTATCGCTGCGGTGGAATTTCAATGCGGCCGATTCATCTTGCGACCCGCAGGAGAGGGATTTATATCGACTGTTATTTCATACCAATCCTGAATCTGCATTTTTATGTCGCCTTCGCTGCTGCCTGCCTCCTGCACCGCGGCGCATCGGGCGGAAAGGGGCAGGGGGCAAGGAGGAAGCGCGGGGGAAGGGCAGATCAGGCCCTCTGCCATCAGGATGCCCCACTTCCTGGGCAAGCTCAGCTTGGCTGCTTGCCCCGTTGGCACAACTTGAGGGGCTGGGGTGGGGGGTGCCGTGGGGGGATCAGTGGGGCCAGCCTAGGGAGAAGGAAGCAATGCGCAAGGGGGTCTGGGCCTGGGTGTGATTCTCCGTAGCCCTTCCGCGCTAGCCTCGGACAGGTGTCAGGCCCATTGGGGTGCCTTGTGCTGCAGGTGAGGGGCGGTGGGGGGGGGTGCCGTGGGGGTATCGGTGGGGCCAGCCTAGGGAGAAGGAAGCAATGCGCAAGGGGGTCTGGGCCTGGGTGTGATTCTCCGTAGCCCTTCCGCGCTAGCCTCGGACAGGTGTCAGGCCCATTGGGGTGCCTTGTGGTGCAGGGAGTGTCCTGGGGTGGGGCGGGGCATGAGGGGGCAGAGGAGCTATTGCAACAAGGGGCGATAACCCCATCTGCTGTACCCTGCAAGGGGGGGCTGAATTGTCCCCTGCTGCCTCCTCTTGGGCTCTGTCCCAGGGCAGGGATGAATTGGGCCCAACGTTGGGATCGGGGCCCGAGCTGCCTCCGGAGTCTGGGTGCCTCGCAGCTGGATTTTCAGCACTCTCTGTTCCAGCC